AACAAAACAAACAAACAAAAAAAAAACTAAAAACTACTTGCTTGTAAAGCATTAGGAAAACATTAAGATCTTGACAGGAGCAATTGGAGATAAGTCAGATCTTGCATATCCTATGATCTCTGGCATTAAGCATTACCTCACGCTTCCTACCCAAAGCACTCGCCTTAAGCCCCTTCCTTTGTTCTGCTGTTTAAATAGCAATATTATTGCTGCACCTCATGTCATAGTGCTGTAAATGTTCTTCAAGCACTGAAGATTAGTAAAATATTCCATGTTATATAATGAAGTGAATGTAATTTCAGTCATCACGTGAAACAACAGTATCAGTGGATTCCTCGACTGAGAATCAATGGGCCACTTGATGTGGTGTGGCTTAGGCACTGCACATACAATTATCCATCTTATTTCTTTCATTTATATTGCTTAGCAAGTAAAAGCTGTGCCTTATGCAGATAATAATGCTCCCTTTTATGTTCAAGTTTTTGTTTATCGAAATACACTTCAAAATCGGAAGTGGGGTTTTAGGCTTTTCAGTCTCTCACAGCAACTTACCAATTTTAACAGGCTGCTAAGCAGACCTCTCAGTCTTGGTTTTAAACATTTCTGATTCTATAAAACAGCCAAATATTTCTGTGGTGTCAGTCAGGCTTCTTTCAAAGTGCTCAGCCAGATATAAATGTTCTTCAGTCCAAGTTACTGGTTTGTATGTAAGTATTAAGAGCTACATCACACAAACCCACACTGCTTTTCTACCAATTCTGTCACCAACGCAAAACTCCCTCTCTGGCAAGTCAGTGAGATAACAAGAAATCCCTATATGCTCATTTCAACAAAAAGGACAGGAACCATGTGCAAAAATCATGACTCTAAATATATTTATTAAAGCTTTGACATCTTAAACGTATAACACAGGTAAGAGATTGACATTGTCCCTTTCATATTTTATGTCTTTCCACCATCCACACTTGTGTTCCCCAAACACATCATCTTCCTCTGCTCAATCCTATTTTCTCTATGTCCTTCACATAAGTTGCTCTAATAAAAGCTCTATTTTGGAGATTGTAGCAAAGCTGCAATTGTACTTAATATTTTGCTGCTATGTCTTTTGGGTTCGCAGTACTTTTTTGCAGACGTCAGCTTCACTGTGCCTGGGCTTGTCAGCTCAAGCACGGCTGAAGTGCTTCCAGGGCCAACTCAAGCCTGAAAACACCTCAGCTGCCTTCTCTCAGCCAGAACTTATGAACTCTCAGGTGAAACTCCCCATCACACTCAGCTTCAGCACCTGTGCATGCATGTCTGGTACTGGCTGAGTTGCAGGAGCAGTAAGGGGAGACTGAAGCAGCCTCGTGCAGCTTGTTCTGAGCTGGCTAAGACCAAGGTGGTGCCTGGGCCGCTCTACCACCACCACACTCCTGTTCAGTCCTGCCAGGACTGACAAGCCCTGGCCCTGCTCAAGTTCCCATACTGCAAACACCCACGCTCAGTGCTGGAGGGCAGCAGCCATATACAGTCAACTATATCACCATCACTCACTGTGAAGTACAAAATGACCCATTTTGCATCCAGCAAGCACTTCTGTTCCTTAAGCGCCTGGTATATAGCTCCTCAGCATCCCAATTCATTTGCCATTTCCTATACCCCAGCACACAGCACCCATCAAGAAACCCGGTGGTGCACTCCCAGCCCTGCAAACCGCCTCTTCCAGTTTCGTGCATATCAAATCTCCACATCTTCCCAAAGAGAAAACCACCAATGGGCTGCCGCCCATACCTCCTCACTTCAGACATCTCTCACCCACTGGCAGTGGAGTTCAATGTGAGTCCTCTCCTGGTTATAACGACACCATACCCGACCCACTGCCCCCAAGCCCTCCCTTCCCTGAGCAGCCCGGGCTGAGGGCACCGCTTGCCTCTTCCAAGCAGCACAGATCAAGCAAAATCCTTTCTTTGACGCTTCAATTACGCCATTTGCCAGTACCTAGATTAAAAAAGAACAGCCATTGAGAGCACGGCATGAATGCTGTCAAACGCCCAGGACAGGAATAGGAACACCGTGGTGAATTTTAGACGACCGCTTCCACTCACACTGAAATATAAGTCTATCGACTGTGCATCGACCGGCCTTACACAAACCCCCACCCGAAACTAGTTTTCGCTCCGGCTCCCAGCGCAGACCCCCACGAAGGATGTTCCCGGCGAGTGCCGGGAGCCCAGCCCGCCGCACAGCCCACACCCAGCAGGTCCCGGCTCCACGTCCCGGCCGGTGGCCCCAGCGCCGGCCCCGCCGGAAGCCGTGCAACGCGCCGCTCCCCCGCACACAATAACCGGGGGCGGGGGCACGGCCGCACCGCCGCTCTTCCCTGCCGTCAGCACTGCCTGCCCGGAGCCGCAGCCGCCCGCGGCCGTTTTTTGTCGGGAGTCCCGACGGGAAGCGGCGGTCGGGCCTCTGCGGGGCCCCCGCGGAGGCCGCGCGTCCCCGGGGCCCGAGGCTGCCGCTCCCGCCGGAGGCGCCGCGGGCGGCCCCGCGCCGTCTCCGGGGAGGAGCTGTCAGCCGGGCCCTACCGGGCCCGGGCTTTACGGGGCGGGAGGGGAGAAACCTTCGCCCGGCGGCGGCACCTCAACGCTCGCCGCCCCTCACCTCAGGGTGGGGCCGACGCAGGCCGTGTCGGTGCTCTCGATCTCCTGCAGGATCCGATCATGCTCCGGGAGGCTCTCCGCCATCTTGGATGGGAGGGACCCGGCAGCCGCGCCGCTGCGGGAGGCTCCGGGGAGGGACCGAGGGCGGGGGCGGCCGCGGAGCCGGGCGGGGGGTACCGGGGGAGACCGGCGGCGGAGTCGTGCCACCCGCGGCAGGACGAGGTCCCGCTGCCTGAGCCCCGCGCTGCTCCGGCGGCGCCGCGCGGCGCAGACCTCCGTCCCTCAGCACCTCACGGCGGACGCGGGCTCAAGAGCGGCCTTGCTGTAATGGGAAGTTCTGCTCTGCTTGTTGGGCCTCGATTTGTTTGTTTACTCGCCGCGTTGGCTCTTTGTTTATTTGTTTGTTTGTTTGAGCTTCCCAATGCCGAAAGCACTGCCTTGCTGCCTTTCAGGAGCTGATCTGGAGCACTGCAAACGGGCATTGTATTTCTACATTGCTGCTGCTTGTGTGCTAGTGTCCTTGGGCACCAGTGCCATAAAACCTCCTTTTTCAGTCAGGTAGGAATAGCTCCTCTTCTATTTAAATCACATATATTGCGGTCTGTGGCCAAAGATGAGCTACTCCTTGTGTCTGCATGCTCAGGAGACAGGATACACCTGTGTTCTTGTCTGTGCACGGGTGGGAAGCCAGCACTGACTTAACTGAAGGTGTTGATGACACCTACTGAAACAACAAGGAATATTCTAAATGTAGAACACAAAATGTGTGCTGCAGAAAGAAAATTGGGGAAAATGCTACAGGATATCACTGCAGTAGTATTTCCTTCAAGAAATACAGTATTTCCTTTTTTAAAAAAATGCAGTAACGATCTTCCCACATTCCTTCTTTTCTCCCTCGGCCCCACACACCCCATCAACAAACTACTCAAGTAATAGATCAACACATACATTTTTCAGGGTAAATGAAATTCTCTTTCTTTAGCCTGATAATCACTGCAACGTGATGCCCACAGCAGCAGGCGGGCTATTTTTAAAGGTCTTCTACAGCTACTGACAATATATTTAGGCACATAACATCATGATCTTTTACATATTACCTTTTTTTTTTGTAAGTGTGGATATGCAGAAGAATTTTTTCAGTTATACCCTCACCACTGAAGTGTTTCCATAAACTGCACATGAAAAAAATTATTTACATTTTCAGATATTTAGGGATATCAACAGTAAAATTTTAAGCATTGTTTTTAGTGATTAAAAATAAAGTCACATTTATTACAAATTTAAGAATAAGAAGCAATTAATTCAATAGAAATATAGCTGTTAAGCTAAAGCTCTGCTATACAAAAGAGCGATTCTTCCCTTATTTTCATGCTTAAGTGCAATATATTTATTTCTGGAGAACACAAAGCCAGCCAAAGACAGCTTTCTCCCAGTAAAGACTTGCACAAGTGTCCTTGGTTTGTATTTTTCCAACCAGGCCCAATTACACCCAAGTTAAATCCCACTACCCAATAGATTTCAATGTCAAGTTAACAAAGTTTGTGATACACTGGGCTGACTGAAGTCAGAACAGCTGAAGAGTGGAACAAATCAACCATGAACAATATAGCTGTATCTAAATGATGCATACCTTAGGGTGGTTCCAAGAGGCAGCTCAAAGGACTCGATCTCAGCAAGGGCATTTTCATATATCTGATCTTTGTTTTCTTCTAGATACATTTCAGACATATTTGGCCTGCTCTTCCTAGCCATAGGAAGGCCATAAAAACTGCTCTAACTTCAGGAGAGGACTTTTATTCTGATCATTATCGTTGACTAAGCGACTCTGCAGTCAGCAGAACCAGGCATGAAAAAACAGATCCTGCACTAACCTCGTGACTCCTGAGGACTTTGTGTCCAAGAATGGTGCACAGCTGCTGTTTTCCTGTCTCTGCTAGTAACATTTGCCTTGTGTGCAGTACTCAGGCCAGTACAGTCATTTTTCTCTGTATGTCTAATTTATCCTTATAGGAAATTTGTTGGCAAAAATAATATGTCTACATCCTTGTAATAGTTCACCAGTAATAAACATTAAGCCTGAAATTATGTTCAAGTTATTTCAGACACTAGGTGTCAATGCTTGGTTTCTTTGTTAAGTATTATGAGATTTAAAAAATAAAAAATTAAAAAAAAATAGTGTTCTTAAAAAGAGAGCAGGTTTATGGACCTCGAAAAGCGGACTGGAAAAGCAGAGAAACTCTCACATTCTCACCTTTTTCATTCTGTGCATTAACAGATGCTGGTTTTAATATAAAAACATACTGAAAATGTTCTGGGACAACAATAATTTTTATATGAGTGTGTGCCCTTATGCAACAAATAGAACTGTTACTACTCATTACCTGCTTGGTAACCTGCAGTGTTCAGAGCAATACTAGGCTCACGTCATTGTCATACTTTGCACAACTTAATGTCAGGCAGCTATTTCAGACATGAGACTGGCGTTCTAATGCTTTCAATTTAAACAGGTTTTTGGAAATATAATTCTATACTGAGTGGCATATCAGTCTTGTTATACTGGATTATTTTTGGTATTTCAAAAGTCTCAACCAAAATGATCCCAGTACTGTGCCAGACAAAATTAATACAAGTCTTGACACCAATGGTGCAGTTAAGAATTCAATACAGGAAAACATAAATTACTCATTTCTGACAGGGGTGATGAGTTGTTCCAGCAGGAGCATAGAGGAGGAGAGCTCACTCCAGAGGCAGGCACAGGGAATTCTAAGGGCTGCACTGTGTTACATATGTACAAGTCCAAAAGGCACTCCCTGGGGCTTCTTTAATCATTTGTTTATTTTTAAACTAAAATTAAGCAATTGCTCTGTTAGCATTAATAGCCAGTACTTTTATTTCTTTAGTGTTCCGAATGGTTTTTATACCTTTGGTAAGAAATTGGTGCCTGTGATTGACCCATCCAGCCACTGGATGTCACACAAATGCAGATGAAATGATACTGTAACTACTCAGCCTGATTTTACCAGACACTAGATTAAAAGATAATTTATCAAGTTTGGAGTGAACATGTGAAAGTAAAATTACTACTAGAAAGAATTATTACATTTAATGAGTTTGGTCCCTACCTCGTAACTTGTATGTTTGAGTTTTGCCATTCTGATTGAAAGTTTAAAAGTTCTGAACTAAATCACAGTACTATAACTTCCTCTGGGTTTTACCCCTTCCTACCAGTCATATCACTACTGATAAACACTGGGTATTTTGAGGTGCCCCTTGCAACTATCCTTTCTTCACAGCTAAGAGCAGGTCATACCTGAAGGTAAGTTATTAATTACCAATGAATTAAATTCCTGCATATGATGTAAGTGACATACATTAAAAATGAAAAATACCAGTCTGATGCAATGGCACCTTAACAAAGGCTGGGCTGTAGACTTAGTATAGGCAGTTTAAGAGCCATCAGCCCTCTCCTGAGCAACACAGAGCAGAACTCAGCTCCCGTCACCTGAGATATCTGACCCTGCTCTCCAAATTCTGGCCATAGTCTAAGGGGAAAGGAGTCCTCCTGAGAGTGAGGTACATCTTGCAGACTGATCTCTGCCTTGATCTTGTGCCACAGCAGCCTGATCACTTCACCTTTCTTCAGTCCAATCTTTGCAACACAAAGATGTGAGGGATTAAATTGTTTTCCCCAAGGAGCACTTAAAATGATCAACTGTTGCCAACACATATTGCAAAGGCTGGTCAACTAAATAGGTTAACTCACTCTTGGTCAGAGGTCTTGGAAAGATGCAGAGCAGTTATTTGGTGAGGACATTTACCTACTGATGTCAAACTTATTTGGGGGCAAAATTTCCAATAATTTCTTTGAATTTCAGTAACAGACTTCTGAGGATTTTATTATTCCCAAATAACATGGATATCAGTGCAGTATGTCTACCCACTTTCATCTGGATCATCTTTCATCTTTCCCCATTGCAGTGGCTCATGATAACATGACATAGGATAGAAGAAAGGACATTGCAGCCATGTGGCAGAGCACAGCCAACCCAGATAGATCAGCAACATTTTAGACATCCACACCTCGTGCCATCACACACCATAACATAAAAAAAAAAAAAAAAAAAAAAAAAAAAAAAAGATTCAACAATGGCAGCATGACATGGAGTGCTTTCATGAACGTTTTTGTGTGATTTTTAGCGAGTTTGAAACTTTGATACAAAGATTTTGGATGCAATTACTTCTCAATCCTTTTTCAAACATGCAGGAGCTTCCTTTAGATGTGAACCAACAAAAAATCTCAATCTGCTGTGTAAATGTTGCTGTACCTATCACAGCTGCCTATAAATATACATTTAACCACAATAAATCAAAATTGCCCCTGGCTCGGCTTCATGGCTCTCTGGAGAAGTTTACACCCATATTGAAACTATGTTAGATTATGACATCTGAAGAAAGACCTAATAACTAGTTGTGGATCTGTAGCCAGCTGCATGCACAGAAGTCCATTAGTGTCAGTACACGACAAAAGCCCATCCTGCTGTAGGTGCTCCTGCCCAGTGCTGCTCTTCATCCTGCTCCCTTCTCTCCATCTCTGGACTTCACCCACCAAAGCTGAAAGGGAAAGTAGGAAATGCCTCTTCTACAGCATCGCACTTGTACTAGTTAGGCTTTAACCACGCCAAGAACCTTGGGAAAGTTCTCCTGTGCTGGGAGAGCTCCTGTGCTGAGGAACTGACATCACTAGAAGTGAGCTGCTACTGTGTCTCTGCATGAAACATCCCTGTAGCAAGCATCTGATAAAATGTATTCCTTCAAGGCTGTGAACTTTCCTGATCGCTTGCTGCTGTATTCCTTGCCAAGAGGGAAATGACTCTGTCTTTTCAGAACATGTAAGTAAATTATGCTTCCTGGATTACAGAAAAAATCTGTAAATACATTGCTTTCTGTTTTAATTACATTAGATTTCAAAATAAGACAGCATATACAAATACTAACCAGATTACAGAGGTAACAACATTTGATAGCACACTTAATCTGCTATTTCTATAGCTAATTGTTCAAAACATTACACATCTCTCCTAGGAGGGAAGTTCATCACCAACTCCTTTTGACATTTTATTGACATCTTACAAGTGCCTAAGCATATTAGGAGAGATCCTTACTGGCACTGATGTTATCTCTGTAAAAGTCAGTAGAGCCACAGAAACTATTTGTTTGATGGAGGTACTCCTGAGCCACAGCAAGAGGAGCACATTTCATTCTCTGTGCTTATATAATGTTGGTGCCATCAAGGAACAAGTACTATGTTGTTCTCCCTGCCTTAAGGATCAGGCACTGGGTAAGACCCCAAGCCAGCAGCTGCCCAGGAGCATGGGGAAGCTTTGCTTCTTCCCTGAAAGGTGCTGTGCGTGTCAGTGGCACAGAACAGATTAGAAATGGAAATGACATTTGAGGTAAAGAGCCTGTGCCCAACGGACATGTCAAAGGAGGTGACCTCTGCCTGGCAAGGGTAGACTGGGATAGACAGACACTGTTCCACCTGAGCCTGTCCTCACTGCAAAGCAATGCCCTGCAGAATCACTAGAACAACCTACTGGATCACTTCTATCATGACCTGTATTATTTAAATAATTTAGGGAAAAGAAATCCCTTGCTTGAACATAAGCTTGAATCACTCTGGATATCAATTAATTAAATTAAATGTCTCTAGGCACTTATCTCCTCCCAGGTTCTTATTTCAGCTTAGTTTAAACTTCATCTAATTGATATAAATCAAGTAACTACCAGAAAAAGAAAAAGGAAATGAAAAAGAAAAAGAAAAAAAAAAAAAAAAGGGAAAAAAGAAGAAAGAAAAAAAAAAAGAAAAAGAGAAAAAGAAAAAAGAAATGATCAGAAAGCTTCTTGCACCAGCTCTCTGTGGGTCAGGCTTCTGCCGCATTCTTCATGCTTGCTCCACTGAAGTTTGCAAGAGGGGATCATTAACATTAGCAAACCACTCTGTGATGGTTATTTTGATTAATTTAATTATTTAATTACTGGCCAGAGGGAACCTTCAGGACTGCTGTTTACCAAAGAACCTGGTTATACCTGTGACAGCAACGTGGCTACTTTAGTAATAATGAGAAGTGCAAGAGGAAGTGTTTGAAATTAACAATATTTAGCTAATTTAGCTTATTTGTTTTGTATTACTTTGAAAGGTCAGGAAAATAACAGAAGACTTACATAGGCAAAGTATTGTACTTCAAGATAAAACTTTTTTTTTTTTTCCCCTCCCCAGTAAATGAGGGCAGGAACCATTTCTCAACCCTATCTGACAATAGTAGCTGCGTACTGGTACTATCTCCCAGTTATACTCAATGAACACAGCAGGTTAAATCTTGAAAATCAGCACCAATGGTTCTGAAAGGAACCACTTGTTTTTTAAGAACATTCCAGCAGTCCACAAACACTTTTTTTTCCAGTGAAAACTGAACAATTACAGTAAGACTCTGTTTTGGTAAGAAAATAGGAAATGATGCTAAACAAAAGGGTATGTTTATTTAGAGATTCCAAGGCCATTAATTTATATTAAGTAACAGTTTGTGCTCAGAGACTAATCAGAGGGTGATGTGAATCATTGATCACAAATGAACTTTATAGATAAGGACCAAGTGCGGTGCTGGATGATTGTATTATATATTAACAACTTTCAGGGGCAGCTTTTGCTGATTCATTTGGCAGGAAGTGAGTCGCCAAGAGAGATTTCTAGGGAAGGAACAATCAACAATATTTTCATATTAAATAACCTCCAGTTACTGTATTGTTCTCACAACATTTGATAATGAATGCTTTCCTGTTTTAAAAAAAAAAAAAAAAAAAAAAAAGCATGTATCACGAAAACAAAGCCAGATCTGGTTACATGGCTAAAAATACACAGACAGCTCAGCAAAGCCAGGAGAGGGGCTGATCAATTCAGAAATTGGGAAGTGTGTGTTCCCTGTAAAGTTCCCTGTGAAGCCATTGCGCAGCTGGCAATTCATGATACAGTTACAGCTATTCTTTTTTGAAGGAAAAAAGGCTGTCCTGTCATCTACCTTCTCAGCAGAAAGCCCACAGCATGGTGGAGTTAGGTCTGGGAGCAGGGCTTGCTTCCCATGAGCTCTGCGCCACACTTCAAATATTGCCCTGTAGTGCCACAGGGGTCACAGA